TTTACATTTAATCTTTATAAAACTCAAAGTAGATGCAATTTTGTAGACAAAAGACCGAACTTAGGGGATCAAGGGTTCAATTTATGTTTCTAACAAATAAGTTGTCTTTAGAACAGTAGTTACTATACTCATTTGGGATCATAAATCCTGGTAGGAATCTGATCAAAGCCATGGAATATCTCCCCAGAAGAACTCATAAGTATATGAAATTCTACATACTAAATTTTGGGGTCTCACAGACCACCACTCCCAAAGCCCTTCTATTGACTCATAAAAGGTAGTCTCCTCTTAAATTATACCAGCATTCAACTGGAAATCAGAACATTTTAACATTAAACATTACAGTAATAATGAAAGTCTAATGTATCTTTTCTTTAAAGAGAGAGTGAATGAGCAGATGGGGCAGAGAGAATCTTAAGCGGGCTCCATGACCAGCACAGTGCTGAACATGGGGTTTGACCTCAGACCCTAAAATCAATACCTGAGCCAAAATTAAAAGTTGGATGCTTAACTGAGTGATCCGGTGCCCCAAAGTCCAGTGTAACTTAAAACACGCTGAGAGGGACACCTGGGAGGCTCAGCCAGTTAAGCATCTGCCTTCAGCCCAGGTCATGATATCAGGGGACCTTGGATGGAGTGCTGAGCTTAACTCCCTGCTCAGCCAGGAGCCTACTTGTCCCACTCCCATTCTCCACCCCACCCCCACTTGTGCTTTTGCTTGCAGGCATTGGGCATATGTGCTCTGTCTCTCATATAAATAAAATCTTTTTTAAAAACCACTCTGAGAAAGGTATTCAATTTTGTAAAGCTGGAATACTACCTGGAAGAAACCAAAATTAAAACAAAAAGAGCACATTCTGCTTTTTTACTGAAGCAAATATGTACAATATACTGGTAGAAACCATTCTGTTAACCAAATCATGTCTTAATTGATCAAGTTTTAAAAAAGATACATTGTACACAATTCAGAAAATTGGTAAAGTAAAAAGCCAGAGGTGCTTCCTGTTAATTAATTGTGCGGCATATTTCCTTCAAGCTTTTTTGAGACTAATATACCATTATTTATGAATACTACAGTATTGTTAGTTGACAATAATAATCTCAAGTTAATACAAAATTTATAATCATGTTCTAGATAAAATGTTCAGCTTAGTTTTTATTTACCATACCCCATTCTGGGAAAACATTTAAATGCATAAATTATATTGTTCCATAATCATGATGTTCCTCCAAAAGAGGATTTACTATATAGCACTCAATGTGTATATTTATTCTACTAGACCATCCATTACTACAGAGAATATCCATGATACAAAAAGCTTACAGTGTTAACCAGAGGAATCTAATCTTGCTTTTATAATAGTTAAGAATCATTGCAGTTGACTTTTAGAGTCAGTGTCCATACATTTCAATATTTCAGACTACTGTTAAAGAACTCTATGGTTAAGATGAAGAGCTTGGGGGACGCCTGGGTGGCTCAGTTGGTTGAGCAGCTGCCTTCGGCTCAGGTCATGATCCCAGCATCCTGGGATCGAGTCCCACATCGGGCTCCTTGCTCGGCGGGGAGCCTGCTTCTCCCTCTGCCTCTGTCTGCCTGTGCTCGCTCTCTCTCCCTCTGTCTCTGACAAATAAATAAATAAAAAATCTTTAAAAAAAAAAAAAAAAAAAAAAGATGAAGAGCTTGGGGTCTAGGACTCAAACTACTTGGAATTCAAATTCTTGCTTTGCCATTCAACTAGCTTTGTGATAACAATTTGCTCTAATTATAAGAGTAACATCTAATTATAAGTTTCTCATGTTTCAGGCAGGATCCATTGACTTGTGTGATTTAACTGTACAGCTTAGGTTAGCCAGACATGTAAACAGACTTATCTTACAATTTTCTTGTTTACAAATTGAGACTTAATCACAAATAATGCTAATAAAGTATGTCAAACTTTAAAAGGACAAAAAAAAAAAAACCCAAAGCAATAGTATTTTTATCTTTAACCACACACAAATCTTAATGCTGTTACTATATTTACTAATAACTAATAACTAAGAACAGTTTGGCATTGCCTAACGAGGCAATCATGAGTTGTTGAGACACATATGACTATTAGGAATGCAAGAGTAATTGATTTAATTATATGTCACCACAAGATGGAGAGTTCAACACACACACACACACACACACACACACACACACACACACACGGTCAAAAGACTACGGATTTGACTTATTCCATTCTGCCATCTAGTGGTGATATAATTAGGTATTACCCACTATTGGATCAGTCTTGTGCAAGAATAAAATAAAAATAAGCAATTTCATAAGAACTAAAAAAATAATTGAAAGACAAGATTAAAGCACAAAAAGGAAAGTGGTAACATCACTTAGTACAGCGGCAAGAATAGGAAGTCAAGGAGAGACTGTCAGAGTGGAGAGACTGTCAGCTTTCCCAAGCTGGCAAAACAAGTTCAAAACATAAAATCTATTTTAAAACTAAAGAATTCTAAATATGGCCTCACCTATTTCTTAAAAAGTAAGTAGTTTGGATTTAAATAATATTAATGTTGCTTTTTTTCCTTATAAAATTGAAAACTGCAAAATCATAAGGAAGGATCTAAGGTCTCTAGGCACTTACATAAATTTTGGGTAGGGCTATTTAGATTTATAGTCAATAATGTTTTTATTTTCATTGAATAACAATGCTTTTATTTGCTTGAAGTTTTACACTTAAAATTTCAGGAGTAAATTTTTTAAAAAATTTACCAAAAAAATATACATACTTTGTAAAACATACAGAAACAAAATTAGAAAGCAAAAGGTTAATGTTCTTGATAAGTACAAGAGCCCTATAAATCAATCAGAAAAAGATAATCACAAAAGGAAGACAAAGGATATGACCAAGCCATCTACAAATAATATAGTTTATAAATAATAAAATTATCACTCACTAGTAACCTCATTAAAATAATAATTTTTGTTTCTCAATCTATCAAAGAGAAAGAGTTATAATAACCAGTGTTGGTGAGGATATAGGAAAGCAGATTCTGTTGGTGAAATATAAACTGTGCAGCCATTCTAGAGTGTGTTAAATGGGAATACATGTTTACCTGGAATTTCAGCTCCTGGGAATTTATCCTCGTAGTACAGGTTTCCCCTGTTATCTGAAAGTAGTGTGTTCTTAGGAAAGCTTTAATAAGCTGAAATCATGTAAAGAGAAGTATCCTCTCCACTTTCCTCAAGTTCTCATTGTACCACTTTGCTTTTACAAAAAGCCAACCTTAGTACCGGTTTTTGATAACTGAAAGAAATCCAAGGCGGATTTTTCCCTTTTACAACAAAAACCATTACTATACTAAGGTAAGTCTTTCATAAATGTGAACTTCTCTGCAACTCCAATTTGATATATACACAAAGATTCATCCGTAGGGATGTGATTAAATTGTCGTTTATAACCGCTCAAACCTCAGCACATGTTAACATTCAACAGGAGATTAAATAAACATAAACTATGATATGACATGAAGTATATGTTGGAATTTTATGTGACTTGTTAACATCATGGTGTAGAAATAATGACATCAATAAGTGCTCACCTCTAATATGTGGAAAAGCAAGTTATAACACTATGTGTATAGCATGATACTGATTGGGTTTTTTTTCTTTTTTGAAAAGGTACTTTATTTTCTTCTTTGTGCTTTTCTAAATTTCCCAATTACATGTATCACTTTTATTTATAATCAAAATAATGATAAAATTTCTAAGTACACATCACAAAACTATTGATTACTATATTTTCATATAAAATATACAATTTTCCAATCAAATTTACACTTGGATATTTAGGTGAGTAGAAATAATCTTAAATACAGGTTTCAGATGTATGGGTTCAATACAAAAAGGATACCAAGAAAATTTTTTCGATCTTTTCAAGAGACCCCCTTAAAGTTAGTAAGTATGGTCTGGAAATTTCTCAGTGAAAAGCAAGAATTATATATCTACTTAAGAAAACATTTAGAAATTTATTATCCTAATCCTTTAGTTGTTTTGTTCCCTTTCCAACATCTCTACGTAAAATTTATTTTCTGAATATTCAAGTTTGTCTGTTTCTTAAAATTAACACAACAAAATGACCCCCAAAAATTAAATATAAAACTGCAGATTATCATTTATGCATGGGTAATAACTATTGAAAATCTCTTACTTCCTGATGAATAGCCCATTTATCCAAAGATTATATGTATCTCCATGTTGTCATTCTATAAGAACAAGACATCAAAAAGAAAATAATAATTTAGTGTTATTAAACTAGCTGCTCTGCCAAGAAAATATATGTGGTAAATAAAAATGTATAAGTTTATAGCTGAAACTCTATTCACAAAATACAATGGTCCTCTACTAGCAGAATTTGAATATTAAAGCTTTTTAATTACATTCTAAACAAAAAAATTAAAAATCAATTCCAATAACTTAGAATAAGTGCTTTATTTTTTTTAATTCCCACAAAAACTGAAACTACCACTTACATCAGTTGCAAGAGCAATAAAAATTATAAATCAATTTGCTGTAACTCTTGAAAACATGAGCATAAAACAAAACTAAAAGAAACAAAAAGGAAAAACTAAGTACTTCTTTTAAATTGAAGATAATCTGACTGCCTGTGACATACTGACCTGTAGATGTACAAACAGCAGATGCTTTCAAAACAGGACAAGATTTAATTGATTTAGAACAATATTCCAAACAATCCCAACCAAGTTTTCAATTACTTGTTCTGGTTTATTATAGAGTCACAAAAAGTAAATCTCTTCTAATAGGTAACCAGCTGATGCCAATTCAGAACACTCCACACCAGCACAGCAATAACTATGGAAATTATGAGGTATAACTACAGGGAAAAAAAAGGAAAACCCAGTACCCAAAATGCACATGTTTTATACTTCAATTTAACTGCAATATAATTGTATTTTGGTTAAAAAAAAGTTTCCTTAAACTATATGTCAAAAAGGAAAGCAAATGTATCACTTTATATTCTTTTTTTGAATTTAAAAAATATATACGTAATCTTCCTTTGTTTTTGATAAGTTCAAATATGAATTGATAGCAGGGTAATTGGATTCTTTAGGAAAGCTCTATAGAAGAGATGAATACAACATACTGTATCTTCTTTAAGAAGTATGAGCTGAAACGTTAGGCATTCCTTGTATTGTTTTTGTATATATTTAAGGAATGCTGTCCTTGTAAACAATTACTTTGAAAAAGAAATACTGAGACCAAAATACATTACTAGAGGATCTCTATAAAAGGTCACCAAAACTATCCTTGCTCATGACATCAGGGAAAATGTTTTTAGAATTTATCTTGTTAGAAAAAAAATGCTACCACTTTTCTTCCTTTTTCTTTTTTGTGATTATCACAATTAAACATCAGAAGATTTTTCCCAAATAAATGCTGATGCAAATGTCGATTTCAAGGGCAAACAACTTTCATAAGAGTCTATTTCTCAGGCATTTCACCATCTGTTGAGACTGAGGCAGCACTGTTCTGGTGTGAATTGTCACTGGACTCCTGTGAAGTATTCCTTCTGGGACAGCTTATTGGGACTTGAAGCTGATTAGCAGATGTAGGCTTAGCAGCACTTGGTGGCTTTGTAGAGGAATTAGATGGAAGTCTATGACGACTACTCTCCTCACCAGAAGTAGATGAATGTCTTTTTCTTCCAAATTCCTCACTAATAGGGGGCTGCAAATTATGAAAGATAGTTCAGTGAAAATTTTACTATTTTTCCTCCTTCCTGATCTAAGGTCAGACTTTTTCAACAAAAAAGGAAACTACGTTGGCATTTCAGTAGATTTTATTAGAATAACAAAAACTTTACAGCAATTTAAGGTATTCAATTTAAATTTCCTCCTTACATAACTCAGCCCACCAGTATTTGTTCATTCTTTCACTCAACATATATTTATTAAGACTCTCGTATGTTTAGGACTTGAACTACACTGCAGGGCATAAATATAAGGCTGGGTTCCCTGCCTCCAAGAAAATGTTTCAAAGAGGCTATTTTCCTTCTTTTTTCAACTTCTGTCAACTGCAAAGCATTTATAACTCTAGTCCCTTCCAACCCTAAACTCCTATGCTAGGCTTATTTGAATGATAACGTTTAACAGATGAAAGAAAGCAGCAGGGGGAAAAAAGAGATACCAAATCAAATAATCTTCAGTGAGTCTGAAGGTTTATCCAGGATTTCTAGGATAAGGAAACTGGACAGAATTATTGATGGTACTAATTTTAAACATTTTCAAACATTAATATCCATTAAGCTCCCAAATCCCCTCAGACTGCAAGCAGGGGGCAGAGGGGTAGGCAGTAAAAAGGTATTCTGCATTCAAAAAAAGTCAGCATTTAAGACCTTTCCAGTTACAAAGATTTGGGAGCCCAGAACTATACACCACCAGCCTAATATTTTAGGAGACAAGTTAAGACCATAACTTCCTTCTCCAATCTTCCATTGTATTTAAAAGCAGAGGCCTGAATTCTTAGTTTCTGTTCAGATAGGGCAAAAAGTCACTATCACAGAGCAAGGATGTCTTTGTGACAGAACTGGCTAGGCCACTCTAGATACACCTTAATTCCAGAGACAGGCACTTCTATTAATTCCGTCCCTGGGCCATGAAACCTATTTACACAAAATATAAAACAAACATATTACAATATAAGCAGAGATGGACCTAGCATTCCTTTCACCTCTCTCTCTTCTGTTCTTTTGATTCTTATTTCTTTTTCCTCTTTTTCCTTTATCTTATTTTCTTCTCATTCTTTTTTTAATGCTTACCTTTTCCTCTTGATATCAAATGTTTAAGGCTTACTCTTCTGTCTTTATATATGTATATAACATTCTTGTCTTAATTTTATTATGTGGGGAAACTTAAATCCATGTTATATCAGCATATATTATGAAAAGTATAGAATAAAATTATATAGAAAGTAAAAAATTTCCAAACTGCTAGTGAGAAATTAGTAATATATCCATGTAAAAGTTACTAAATCTATAAAATGTTTAATTACAGGGGCATATCAAAATTAAAGGGAACTGACAATCGTGCTGTGCTTACCTAAGATGTTAACATTTGGGAAATCTGGATAAACAGAGTATATGGGAGTTCTCTGTACTATCTTTACAACTGTTTTAAAGTTTGATTTCAAAACTAGAAAATTATCATTTCAAAATAAAAAGTTAAAAAAATAAAAATTGTAAAACCAAAGTTAAGAAGTCACTGATAGCTCAAAACATGAAGGTAATAAAAAGACTACAGAAGTAAGGACTTAAAACTTGTGGGGCACCTGGGCAGCTCAGTGGGTTAAGCCTCTGCCTTTGGCTCAGGTCACGATCTCCGGGTCCTGGGATGGAGCCCCGCATCGGGCTCTCTGCTCAGCGAGGAGTCTGCTTCCGCCCTCTCTCTGCCTGCCTCTCTGCCTACTTGTGATCTTACTCCATCAAATAAATAAATAAAAATCTTAAAAAAAAACAACTTACATCAATGCGGAAGTCTTCTAACCTCTTATAGCTACAGAGGTATTCCTGAAGTTTTGGGTCAATAGACTGTGTCTTAGATTGAGAATATTTTAGATAAGCCCAAAACTTTTCCAATCCATATAGCTGACCTAATAACAAAGAAAAATATACACAATTAATTATATAGAATTTAAAAAATGATTCATATTAAACATGACCCCATCAGCAACTAACCATTTATCTTCCAGCATATACTTTATCTAGATCTTGAGAATAAGACATTGTAATAATAATGGCAGCTAACATTTAGTAAGCATTTGTTATACAATAATACCTATTATTATACAATAATAGGTATTATTTAAGTGGTTTTTATGTATTAAACTAATTTGAACCATATAAAAACCTGTAATATAGGTGCTCTTATGTATATTACTGACAAGTAAACTAAGGCTAACAAAGTTAAGTAACTTAACCAAAGTCACACAGCTATTAGGTGGTGAAAATGGGATTCAGATCTACGTAAGAATCTAGCCCAAAACTTGCACTGTTACCCACCGTGCTAGTCCATCTTTCCAAACATATGTGCTGATATTACAAAGAATGTTCATGTAATGGAACATCAGTGAGTATTATCTTCATGTTTGTCATGGGAAAAATGGTAAAATACTACTCCATAAAGGAAACACTTGGGCGTAGTTGTTTTCCAACACCTCACAGGAATGACCTTCTTATTATACCATACCCCATAAACTTTATCAAGAACCATAATAGTGGCCTGAAGGTCTTAAATGTCCTACTCTGAAGAAAATAGTTATGAACTCCTTCCCTTTTTATTGACTCAGGTTTACAATTTGCAAATAAAATAAGATTATTGCAGTTTTTTGTTTTGTTGTTTTACCAGATTCGTAGTCTTTTTTGGTTTCTTCTTGGAAATCCTTAAAAATTTCTTGTCTGAATTTTTTTTCCAGTCCATAACTATAAAACCTGAACAGACACTCTAATCCATACCTGTAGAAAGAAAATAAAAGGTTTATAATAAAAATTTTGCTATGACAGTGTGAACATCTATGAGATAGAAGCAAACATGACAAAAATTGCCCAAGCAAAAAAATAAAGGCTTAAAGTTGTATAATTTTTAGTATGCAGTTTTTTTAGCTGAAGTGGTTATTTAGTAATCCATAGATGCTTTTGGTATTTTTGTTCACTCAACCATAGCACCTAATGGACATATACTGGGAACCTGCAGAATGAGGCAGCCCGTGGACAACTATGGTGTGGCTTTGGACAGACAGAGGATCTCTCCTTGGTATTTCTGAAGACATGGTCAAAAGATTTAGTGACATTGGGAATGCTTTAGATTTTTTCCAAACTAAGGTTATAATGCATGGTTTTAGATCCTTCTGAACATAATCTTTACTAAAAAGGGAGAAAGACTATACTCTTGTGCCCTAGACCTTATGTGTAATTTGATCCATTCAACTATAAGTGACAAAGATAATTAAATGGCTCCTAACAGATCTTCCCTGCTTTAGTTATAAAGTACATTTCATAAAAGATATTTTGCTAAAATAATTGTAATCACTACAAAAATCAAAAAACAAATTTCCTTGTATTATTCTATAACTACCTAGAGAACCCAAGACAAATTTTGGACTGTGTATTAGCAAACTACATGGGCTCAACCTTTAATTAATGGTGATGACTAGAACCCATAAGAATGAACAAAGTTAATAAGATAGCAGTAAAAGGACTAAGTCTAGCTTATTCCACTAAAACATGTCATGTTTAATTAAAACAATTAAAAGATTTCTCAGTTAGGATCCTTAAGTTGTTCTAAGTGCCTTAGTGGAATAAAGACTACAATTTCTTCATTACCGGTAACATAATTTTGCGTAGCTTTTATTCACAATAAGGGGTGTGTGTGTGTGTGTGTGTGTCTTTTATAACTACTAGCTTATTTGCAAGATGGAAAGTGATAGTCTGTCCAGAATAAATAAGTTTCTTGGCAAGCCACCAAGAGAAATGTAGGACTACCAACTACACACCCACCCACTGACCTGAGCTCTTTGCTTTGGTAGCCGTAAGTGATGCTCTTCTTTGACCTTGTATGACTGAAGGCTAAGGACTAAGGACTAAAGAACCACCATCTCAGAAATGACAAATCTGCCTTGATACCTCTCTTATGGGAAATTATATTGATATTTGTTATACATTAGTTTATCTTGGTAAAAGCCAATAGACTACTACAATATTTGGATTTTTAGTCTTATTTTTTGGTAAACCAATTCCAAAGACCCAAAAGTATGACATTAATAACAACCCAACTATGCAGCATAACTGCTGGAGTGAAGAGCAGGGGCAAATGGCCAGCCTCTCAGTTGTTATTTACTCATTTACTCCTCATTATGAGACAGCTTAGATGAATGGAAAACATAAAGGCTGAGAAGCAGAAAGAGCTACATTTGAATTCTAGCTCTGTAATTATATCCCTGAAAATGGGGATAACAATATCCTACTTTTTAAGAATAGATGACATAATATTTGTAAAGCACTTAGACCAGAGCTGGCACATTGAAGATACATAAGTTATTTCTCTCCTTCCTTATGAAATCATCTTACTGCTAAATTTAGTCAATGGATAGATTAAGTATTGATCTTTATAATAACAGTAACAATTTATTAAGCACTTACTGTGTATCATATGTTAAGACCTTTACATGTTCTGTTTTGCTTAATCTTCACAATAAACCTTTGAGTGTATCTACCATAATTTCCCCTACTTTATAGATAAAGAACCTAAATCTCACGGGAATAATAACTTTCAAGCTCACGGTAATTAATAGGCTGGGATTCAAATTTAGGTCTGATTTCAAATCCTTCGGACACTTAACCACTATGTTATACTTCCTACAGAAGAGCTAACCCAGGCTAGTCATGAACATTGCAGAAACAGACCCAAAATGATGTGTTAAAAAGCTACTAGAAAAATACACGGACAACTATAGGAACACAGAACTCCCAACCTAGCCTTGGATGGTCACAGGCATATCAGAAAAGTTATTAGAAAGTCCTGAAGACCAAACAAAGTGTTTGCAAAAAGAGCAAAATATCCCGAGACTAATTATAACAGTGAACAGGGTGCCTGGGTGACTCAGTCGGTTAAGCAACTGCTTTGGCTCAGGTCATGATCCCAGGGTCCTGGGATCAGTCCCAAATCAGGCTCCATGCTCAGCGGGGAGCCTGCTTCTCCCTCTTCCTGCTCTGCCTGCCATCCTCCCTGCTTGTGCTCTCTCTCTCTCTCTCTCTCTGATAAATAAATAAATAAATAAATAAATAAAATCTTTTATTTTATAAAAAATATAAATATTTTATATTTAAAAATTAAATAAAAATTCTTTTATAATTATAACAATGACTTTCAAACTTTTCTATATCCAATATAAAGAAAAATATTTTATCTGGTGACCAAATTAACACAACACTCACACATATAATGTGTGCACTTAAAAACATAGATAAGTTTTGCAATAATTCTTAAACTTGCATGTATGTATTAATTGTGAAAAAATTTAGCCTTACTATGTTCAGTGAAGTCTGATATTTTTCAAACCAGTAAACTGACTTCACAACCCATTAACGGGTAGCACATCACTGTTTCAATGAGAACATCAAAATCACAAATAGCAAATTTTGCCCTTTTGCCAACTCAGGTAAACTGGCAGTAGCTATCAAAATTTTGATAAGAGTATAGATCTAAATTCAAGAATAACATTAAACAGTGCTGGGTTTGAATAGAGATGTCAGTAATAACAGAAGAGAGAAACAGAGGTAAACATACTATGTATCTGTCATTCCTGATCAAGATAAAGATTCTGGGAGAAAATTAAATAGTCTTTATTTTTATATATGTCAGGGCAAATGTAATTTATTCCAGAAAAAATTATTTGCAGCATCTTGTATTCCTCTGAAAGATTATAATAACTGATTAACAATATATTCTTATTTAAGACTTATAAGTAGAACTTGAAGAATGCTAAATTTGAGTAAACAGTGAGTGTAAAGTTCTTTTTTTCTTCTTTCCATCTCTTCTTCCTCCTACCATTTTCCAGGAATAGTGTACAAGAGCCTACTTCATGTTTCTTTTCACCCTTTTAGTCTGGTATAAACACTCTCAAAGCTTATTCTGAACATTTCTCAAAGAAACAAGGTCTAACCTGGATGAAAAGAATGAGTTAGCAAAGCAGAGGGAGGAGGAAGAGAATATATATAGACATCTAGAGACTAGAGTTTGGGTCATTCAGAGAACACATTCTGTACCACTGTTGCCTAGAGAACTAGAGCACTAGCAGGAAAAAGTGAGATTTGATAAGTCTAGACATATCATAAGAGGCCTTATTTTTTCTTGGCTCAAGTCATCTTCACAAGTAGTTTGGCTCTAAGTATTTATCAATTTGGGGTGTATATGCATATGCAAGGGAAGTCTCTAGTGGCTCTTTCAAATTTCATTTGGCCTTTGTGCCAGCCCCTAAAATGGCTCCAAATGATCCTACCTCCAGATATTCACAACCTTGGGTAGTCTCCTCCTACGAGGGATGGTACCAGGGTTGGTCTGTGTGAACAATATAACATGGGAGAAGTGATGGTATGTCACTTTCAAGCATAGGTTATACAAGACACCAAGGCTTCCATCTTGGAAGTTCTCCATCTTTCTTAGATTATTTGCTCTGGATGAAGTCATGTTGTTAAACGCCCACTGAGAGAGAGGCCTATGTGGTGAAGAACTAAAACTTCCTGCCAACAGCCATGTGAATAAGCTTGACTCCTCCAGCCTGAGTCAAGTCTTCAGAGACGGCATCCTGGTCTAACACCTTAACTGCAAATGAGACATCTAAGTCAGAACCACCCAGCTAAGCTGTTCTTAGGGTCTTGACCCTTAGGAACTGTAAACTAATAAATGCTTGTTGTTTAATCTTCTGAGTTTTGGGATAATCTGCAATGCAGCAATAGGAAACTAATATAGCCCTCTCTCTAGTTATGTTGTGCTACTTTCATAGTTCAAACAGGGCTACTTCAGTACTAGCTTTTGTGTTCTTTTTTTGAAAACTCCCTTTAACTGTAAAAATATGAGAAAACATTTGACCTGTAATTTTCTTTTGCATCTTCCCAAGCAAGTTGTCTAAATTCCTCATACATTTTTTTATTGAAGTGATCTCTGAGGAAAAAGGACCAGAAACGAAAGAGGGTATTCATTTCTTGGGACTGGCCAATTCCCAGGCGTTTTCTCTCTGGAAAAAGTTAAAATAATAAAACATTTTTTTGTTAAAGAAACTTATTAAAGTCAAAGCAGCAGACATTTTACATAACCTAAAACAAGGAACGTTAAAACACATTAATCTCCAAAATGTATTTGGGTTTCTTCTAAATAAAGGACAAATATTAATCCATTTCCTGACTCATTGCTCAAATCTAAGCATTCGTCAGTACTAATAAGAATATGCTAAACTTTATTTCTTAATGAGTTAAGCTACAAAACACATAAATACTTACTTAAGGTAATTATAACAAAATAAAAGAATATCTTCACCTGATATTAAATGTCACATTTAAAAATATATTTTAGTTTTAAATATAGCTACATAAAGGACAAGCATCTTACCACTTAGACATCTTCGACGATACTTGTGGTACACTTGTTGGGTAAAGCCATTTTCCTTCAAAAGTTCATGAGAAGGGTGCTGGAACTTTGGGAATGATTGAGGAGTACATCCATAACTTCCTACTAGTGGTGCACCTTCTGAAGGTGAAGCATTTGAACTGCTGTTTGAGGAGGGGGGAAAAAAGCCTTCAAACTGAAATATCAAGAACCAAGTGTTTAAACCAAGTGTTTAAACAATCTGTGCTACTTGTTCATTATTGCATCTGAACAGTGAAAAGACATTAGTCCCTAACAATAAATTAATGACATAAAAATCTAATTGCTATTTATGTTTAAATAGCATATTTAACAGGTATATTCAGAAGATGATAAGGAACATGGTTATAAACATGGTTATAAATTCTCAAATTAAAGCAGTAAGTAGAAGCAGATAACTGAATAGTTAGCTTATTCCTCTTCCAGATCTATTATTAGTTTAGTTTCTTATGTAGGGGAGAAATTTTCAATTTTCATGAGTAATTAAGTAAATGAAGTAAGTTGGATAAATGGAAATGAGAAATAATATCTGGCACAAAGATAACAATTTCATGAGTCCAAAGACATACTTGCAATTCTGTACATCAATTTCATTTCTGAAATAACTCTGAAATCGGTCTTTTCCTTTTTGTCTGCATTCCATTATTCAAATTCAGCTTTCCTTCCTCTTTCACTCAAACTAACTAGTCTCCTAATTTTTCCAATCTCCCTCCTCTATCCTACCACCAAAGTGATCTTTCTGTGTTTTGTTTTTTGTTTTTGCTTCAAAGTGATCTTCCTAAAACTGTGATCTAAATCAGTGTTTTCAATGTGTTCTCTGTGGATGCTTGGAGGGGTTCCCAGGAACTCTTCAGAAAGTTTGTAACACAAGACCATTTTTCACAATAACACTAAGGTATTATTTGCCCTTTTCACTGTGTTCACATTTGTACTGAATAGTTACTAAAGCAATGGTGTAGAAAACCACTGATGAAAATTGAGGCAGTGGCACAAACTTTACATACTAGTGATTGTATTATTCACTGCAATGCATGAGCAAGTTTTTAAAAATGCCAGTTTCAACTTAAGATTCCTTGATGGAGCAAAAAAAATTAACTATGTGAAATCTCAAGCCTTGAGTACCTGTCTTACTGCGTGTGACAAAATGGGACAAAAGCTTTAGTTTTATAGAAAGTTCTGGAAATGTTTCACAACAATATGAAGATACTTAACATTCCTGATCTGTACACTTAAAAATGATTAAAATGGTAAATTTTTATGTGGTTTTAAATCACAATTAGAAAAAAATGGGCGCCTAGGCGGTTAATTGGTTAAGTGTCCCAACTCTTGGTTTCAGCTTGGGTTATAGCCTCAGGGTCCTGGGATTGAGTCCCAAGTCAGGCTCCATTCTCAGCTCAGAGTCTGTTTGTCCCTGTCCCTCTGCTTTCCCCCATCCCCCACCACTGTCCACTCTCTAAAAAAGAAATAAAATCTTTTTTTAAAAAAATGGGATGAAAGCATAAAGCACTTTTGCAGCATTATCAAAGTATAATGGCTATTTTTATGGACTGAATGTGTCTTGAATTCCTAGCTCCTTATATGAAGGTTATCAGGAGGTAATTAAGTCATGAGGGTAGAGTTCTAATGAGTGGAGTACATGCCCTTATAAAAAGAAACACAAGATAGCTTGCTTCCTTTCTTTCTGCTACTTGCCATGTGAGGATACAAGAAGATAGCCATCTGCAAAGCAGGCCCTCACCAGATACCAGATCTGTTGGCACCTTCATCCTAAAACTGTGAGAAATAAACTTAAGCCACCCAGTCCATGCCATACGTGTTAAGAGCAGCTCAAACTGAGACAGTTGTCTTAAGTCAAAGCACTTGTGTGATAAAGTTGTGAGCTGACCTAATTGATTTTTTCATGGAACACCATTTCTAACTAGAAAACAAACAAATTATGGTTATTCAGACTTCATTTTGTGTCAGATATTTCCTTGAAAATGAACAAAATGAATCTGTAATGTCATGGAAAACTGAGCTTTCATGCACGTTAGAATTTTTGAAACCTTGTATTTGTCACCAAGAGCCTGAGAGTTTCCACTAATATTTAGACTTTTCTAATGAAATCAGTGGTAATTTTTTTTAGGAGTTTGTATATGCATGTCTGCGTGTATGGTAAAATATACACAATATTTAATTTTAATCACTCTTAAACATGCTTACTATTTATCAGCATTAAATATTCTCAATGTTATATAACCATCACCACTCTATACCTAAAACTTCTATATCATCCCTAACAAAAACTCTATTAAACAAAATTAGCCCTTTCTTCCTCCCTTCAGCTCCCAATATCTTCTATTCTACTTTCTCTCTTTTAATTTGATTATTCAGCGTACCTCACATACAAGTGAGAAGATACTCTACTCACTGTTTGAGTCTTATTTCACTAAGCATGTTTTCAACATGTTTTCTATGTTGTTGTTGCAATAAGTTAAACTTTCATTCTTTTATATGGTTGAATAATATTCCATTATATGTATATACCATATTGTGTTTATGCAGTAATCTGTTAAAGGACATGTGTTGTTTACATCTTTTGGCTGTTATGAATAATACTTCTATAAACATGGACTTAAAAATGTTTGTTCAACTCCCTGTTTTCAATTCTTTTGGATATAACCCTCAGGAGAGCAATAGCTGGAACATATGGTAATTGTATGTTTTAACCTTTTGAAAAAATGACAAACTGTTTTGCAGTGGCTGTGGCAGTTAATATTTTCACAAACAATGCTCAAGAGTTCCAATTTCTCCACATCTTCACATTTATTTTCAGGTATAAACATATGTATTTATTTAAGTATGTCCTTGGGGCCTAAACTCATGACCCTGAGATCAAGACCTGAGCTGAAATCAAGAGTTGGGTGCTTAACCAACCAAGCCTCCCAAATGCCCCATATTTTCAGTGTTTTAAAAAATTATACATATTAGATAGCTCAGGCTGTCATAACAAGATACCACATCCTGGATGGCTTAAACAACAGAAATTTATGGTCTCACAATTCTGGAGGTCAGAAGTCTATTAGAAGGTGGAAGAAGGGCAGTAAAATATCCTCTGGACTGAAAAGGTACTTTGAGACCAAAAAACAAACCAAGCAACTCCAAACTGTTTAGCTTTTTATTTAGGGCAACTTACTGACAGGAGGATCAGGTGGACAGATGATCTCAGCACTATGCAGCTATTTTCCACAAAGTCTGTAACTTAATCTATAGAGATTATAGAGCAGGGGCATCATTGTGGGGAGGTTGAAGGGCAGTTATCTAAAGTAGCACTATCTGTGTGCCAGAGGGATCTCTACTATTCATCTGAAGTGGCACAATCTGTACACCTTCCCTCATTCTAGCTAGAGCGCACACTAACCTCCAACAGGCATGGAACATGTGGTCCTGTGGAAGGTCACTGTGCAGACAAGAACAAGATAGAAAGCAAAAGATGGAGTCAGTACTGTCAGCACTCCTACAAAGTCCAACATTAAAGTGGCAGCAGCACTGGTTTCTGGTGAGGCTTCTCTTCCTCGCTTATAGACAGCCACCTTCTCTATGCATCTTCACATGGCTTTTCCTCTGTGTATATACAGAGAGAGATCTCTTGTATTTCTTCCTCTTCTTATAAAGACACCAGTCCTATTAAATTAGGGGCCACCTTTATGACTTCATTTAACTTTACCTTTAATGGGTCTCCCTATACTATCTCCAAGTATAATCACACTGGCGGTTAAGACTTCAATATATAATTTTAAGGAGAAACCATAATACCATTCTAGTAGGTATGAGGAGGTATCTCACTGTGGTTTTTTATTTGCATTTCTCTAATGACTAATGATATTGAACATCCTATCATGGGCTTATTGGCCATTTGTACATCTTCTTTGAAGAAATGTCTATTGAAATCCTTTGCCTATTTTTGAATTGGGTTTTTTTAGTTGTCAAGTTTTTGAAGTACATTATATATTCTAAATATTAATCCCTTAACAGATACTTGATTTGCAAACTTGATTTTCTCCTATTGAATAGGTTGTCTTTTGACTCTGATACATAAAAGTTCTTAATTATAGGGGTGCCTGGGTGGCTCAGTAGGTTAAGCTTCTGCCCTCGGCTCAGGTCATGATCTCAGGGTCCTGGGATCAAGCCCCACGTCGGGCTCTCTGCTCAACAGGGAGCCTGCTTCCCCCCTCTCTCTGCCTGCCTCTCTGCCTACTTGTGATCTCTGTCTGTCAAATGAATAAATAAAATCTTTTTTTTAAAAAGTTCTTAATTATAATGAAGTGTAATTTATTTTTTTCTTTTGTTACCTGTGCTTTTGGTGTCATAGAAGAAACCAATGTCAAATCCAGGGTGATGAAGATTTTCCCTTATGCTTTCTTCTAACAATTTTATAGCTTTAACTCTTAAGTTTAGGTCTTTGATCAATTTTGACTTAATTTTTTTATACAGGGTATAAGGTCTGGATCCATCCTTATCCATCCTTTTCCATGTTGGATATTCAATTTTCCCAGTACCATTTGTTGACAAGATGGGCCTTTTCTTTACTGAACAGTTCTAGCACCCATTCTGAAAATAAACTGACCAGACATATGAGGGTTTATTTCTAGGCTATCTATTCTATTCCATTGGTCCACTTGCCTGTCCTTATGCCAGGACCATAATATTTCTTTTTAATTTTTAATTTTTTTCTTTTTTGTTTACAATTTCTTTTTTTAAAGATTTTATTTATTTGATGGAGGGGTGGGGGAGAGAAAGCAAGCACAAGCAGGGGGAGCGACAGGTAGAGGGAGAAGCATGTTTCCCGCTGAGCAAGGAGCCTAACGTGGGGCTCAATCCCAGGACCCTGCAATCACGACCTGAGCTGAAGGCAGCCACTAAACTGACTGAACCACCCACGTGCTTTAGTTTAATACTGTAGCTTTGTAGTAACTTTCAAAGTCAGGAAGTGTTAGTCCCCCAATTTTATTCTTCCTCTCTAGGACTGTTTTGGCTTCTCAGGACTCCTTGCAGTTTCCTATGAATTTGAGAATAAGGTTTTCCATTTCTGTGAAAATCATTGTCAGACACACAGAACAATGGAAGAAAATAGAAAACCCAGAAA